GGACAGGTACGGTGTGTGTGTGCAGGCTGAGACCTCGTTGTGCTGCCTGGGCAAGCCTTTCGTACCTGCTAGGCCCTCGAGGGTTTGGTGTGGCAACCTCGGCTGCAATAACAGCACGGCCGTGCCGGTAAGCGAGCCCGGGCGCCGCCGCCGCCCTCCCAATCCCTCGCAGGGGCAGCACACCAAGGCGCCCTTGCGGGGCGTCGCCGCGCCGCCCCCGTGCGCCCCGCCGAGGAGCGTTTGGTCGTGCGGCGTGACAGCTCTGAGCATCAGGGGCTGCTGCAGCGGCGACAACGACGGCGACGGGGGCGGGGGCGGCGGCAAGATATGGCGCAAGGTGTCGCACGCAAACGGTGGCGATCTGCTGCGGCAGCTGGGCGTGTTTGGTTTCCATGTCGTGCCTGTGCCGCAGTTGCTGGCCGGTGACGCCGCGCGTCCATTGTAACACTTCCTTGGATCATGCTCTAATGCGGCCCTGCATGCTTTTTGGCGTTGCGTGCGGGCATGCACCGTCGCAGCGTCGTGATGTCAGGCGGCACCCGTCACCTCAGTGATCAGCGCCGGACGGTCCAGACTCTGATCCCACTACCCCACCATGAGTCTTTCCAATCCAAAAATTCAACTTTTTAACATGTTACACTCGAGCTGAATCGTGTAGATTACCCTCTTCGCCATATCTAATCAGCCACACACAGTGGCCACTCTTAGTTGGTAAATGGCGATATGGAGGTCCATTTTTACCCCATGAAGCAGCGCCTCGCGCCTGCGGTGTCCATATGGGACCGCGGTCTTGCGGTCCCGACGCGCCTGGCCAGTACAGCGACCAAATTTGCTTCACGAGTGTGCGGTGGGTGCCTTATCTATTCTCATGGCCTCTATGCACACTTCTCCCATGCTATGGCCCAGATTTACAATCTCGGAGCAACCATTCTCTGCAACGACCACCTTTCGGGACGTGCAAAGCCCGCCGCAACAAAAATCCCTGGTGTTACTCTTTCGTTTGTCCAGGCGCATGCTGCACCAGCTCTACAGAAAGTCGGCCGCGCGTCGCCCAGGTGGCGCCCGCGTTCCTTGCCGCGTCACAAGCTGTGCCAACTGCTGCTGTGCGTTTGCGCTCCTTTCCCCACCGAATGCACCGCAGCCTATCCAGCACCTTCCCGTGAAAAAGAACACCGCAGCTTGGAGCCGTGTCTGCAGGAGCAGCAACAGCAGCAAGAGCAGCAGCAGCAGCAGCAGCAGCAGCAGCAGCAGCAGCAGCAGCAGCAGCAGCAGCAGCAGCAAACACGACAGCAGCAGCTGCAGCCGCAGCTGTCGCCGTGGCCTTCACGCCCCTCAACGGGGCCGGCCGAGTTTGCGACCCCACTGCAGCAGCATCTCCTCCCGCCGCCGTGCCCGCCGCCGCACCTGCTGCCGCACCCCCCTTCAGAACTGGAGCTGGCCCCCCCCTCGGGGCCGCCGGACCCGCAAGCAGCGCAGCATTACCAGCCCCAATTCGCCGTGCAGCAGGAGCAGCAGCAGCAGCAGCAGCAGCAGCAGCAGCAGCAGCAGCAGCAGCAGCAGCAGCAGCAGCAGCAGCAGCAGCACCAGCAGCAGGTGCCCCAGCAACAGCAGGAGCAGGAGCAGCAGCAGCCGCTGCCGCAGGCAGCGGCCGCCTTTGAGACCAAGAAGGCCGGCAAGCTGTCCCGCGCGTTCCCCCTTGTAGCCATCGTGGGCCAGCAGGCGATCAAGCGCGCCCTGCTGCTGGCCGCGGTCGACCCCGGCCTGGGGGGCGTCGCCATCATGGGGCGCCGCGGGACCGCCAAGTCGGTGATGGCGCGCGGCGTGCACGCGCTGCTGCCGCCGATCGAGGTGGTGGAGGGGTCCTTCTGCAACGCGGATCCAGACGACCCCCGCACCTGGGAGGTGCGCGGGCACCCCGCTTCATCTGGTTGTTGTTTTCTCTTTGGACAGCCTAGTTGACAAAACCTGTCAGATTGGGTTGGGTTGGACGTGTTTCTGCTGCCAGGAAGTTGAAGAAAAAAACTGTTATGGTGCTTGGCCTTTGCTTGCGTATGTTCTGCAGGCGCTAACAATGTGTATTGCGTGCGAGCCACGCGGAAAGCTGTGCCACCACATCCGATCACTCCCCCCTTGGTACGCCAGGAGGGGCTGGCGGAGCGGCTGGACGGCGCGGCCCCGGCGCGGCGCGTGCGCGAGGCGCAGTTTGTGCAGATCCCGCTGGGTGTGACTGAGGACCGGCTGGTGGGGACTGTGG